TTTTTACTATGTTAGCACTAGAATTGTCGTTAATCAGTGTCATTGAAGTGTTTTCTAGCACTAGAATTATGATTAGTAGAAATGGAGGAAGAAAAAGTGATAGAGAGGTAAGGGAATAGGAAAGAAGGAAGAATCTTGTAATCTTCATGTCGTGGTATCCTCTTCCTTTGGGTGGTAAGGAAACATTTTTTTTCTCTCATTTCTCAACTCCATTTTGTGCCAAAACAAAAAAACATAAACTTAAGATTATTTATACCTAACCTGTAGAGGTTAATCTACTTAATAGTTCCCAAATCGACGAATGGATTGTTAAAAATCACCTTGTCACTATCTTAGTTTTGTTAAGTAAATATCAAACCATTAAGCAAATTCAATTTAGAAATCAATGTGAGAAATTAAGGATTTAAAGAGTCATGGACATTGATCGTATTTCAAAGCATTGAATGGATTAACTCCAAAGAAAAAAAAACTTGATTTTTTAGGTGTAGAGCTTAAAAGGACTAAGCAAGTTGAGAAGGGTTAGACGTTTGCAAACAATTTAGTGAAATTAGCAAAAAAAAACTTCCAAATTATTTTTCTTCATAATTTTTTATTGAGTGAAACTGGCTATGAGATTTTCCTCCAATAAAGACATTCTAAAAGTAAATTTAAAAGAGGTTGAGTTACTTTCCTACCTAATGCCCTTAACACTAATTTTGGATGTTACAAAACTTCTCTTTTGAAGTTTTTGTCCTAAAAAGTTGGTAAGACACACCTATGCCACTCAAAGCAATATGATCGTGAGACTTCATATCTTCTTCCTTCTCTTAAGTAGTTTCTTTTGAGGAGTGTCCTTCCAAATTACCTTCACAATGATCAATAGTTTGAACAAATTACGATTCATGAGCAAGGTTCGATTTTAATTAAAGGATACCTAGTTCAATAACATGTGATGGACCAACTAATCTTTTAAGTTCTTTTTCAATATGAGTAACTGCAAAATATCTTAGGAAAACATGATCACATTCCTTGAACTCTAAATGTCTCCTTCTTTTATATGCATAACTCTTTTTTCTTCCCGAGCTATTTTCATTTTATCCCTAATCATTTGAATTTTTTTTAGTTTCTTGGATTGTATGTGGCCCATAAATACTAGATTCACCAACCTCATATGAACATAAAGAAGTTTTGCATCTTCAACCATATAAAGCCTCAAATGGGGTCATAATTGTGTTAGAATGAAAACTATTTTTATATAAAAACTCTATCTTGTCAGAGCGGCTGCAGCGGAATGGTTAGCATGAAATAACAAACCAAGAGGGTTTTTAATACGAACGTGTGCCTTTTAATTTCTACTCAATTAAACTTACTAAGCAAATAATAAAGACAAATAAAGAGGGTAAGGTTGAGAGAAATTTGCACAAATGATTTTATTCTGGTTTGGATCTTACCAATCCTTCATCTAGTCGCTTATCTCAAAACAAGATAAACAGTTCACTACTCACAAAACAATTACAAATTATAATCACAAAGAAACACTTTGTAAAAGTTTAGAAACCACCTCTCTTGTTACCCCCAAGAGATGAAAGTCACTTCCCCTATAACCCACAAGGGAGGAACACCTCCTCTGAATCTTCACAAAGGATGAACACCTCCTCTTAATGCTTCACGAAGGATGATAGGCTTTTAACTCAGCAACAACAACAACACTCAATCACACTCCCTGTGAAAGTTCTCGCTCTATGCCAACACGCTAAGTTTTCAAAGTCACAACATAAGTGTTCAACAAACCCTAGAACACTTATCACCGCACACTGCAGATAAGATTTTTCTGAAATACACTTATTTCATATTTATATTTCGTATATTAGAATGAGAGTCCCAATCTAATTTATAAAGATCTCACTCAAGGATACCTCCAAAAATCCGTTGTCAACTAATTAACGTGTTATAATCAATTATCCAATTATGGTAATTAATTATGAATTTAATAAATGCACAACGGTAAAAAAGTTTGCTTAAAAATTCTCATAATTGCTCATTATAATCAATTATGGCAAGCCATAATTGATTACTGATAATCGATTATTATAAATTGATAATCAATTATCTTGAGTATAAAATGAGGTTTTCTGATTTAAAATAAGTTTTAACGCAACCTAAGACAAACAATACATAAAATCAATTATAAACCACATCCTATACATAAATCTACTAAATTATAAAAGCTTTAATATAAAAACAAGTCTTCATGAAGATCTTCCTGCAATAAGAGCACTTGAGACTTGACTTTGAGACATCATCAAAATTTCTACTCTTTAGCTTTATGCTAACATATCAAAGATAGGAAATTATCCTAATGTGTTCATCATATTTAAAACTCAAAAATGAATAAAGACTTAAAAAAGTAAGTGTCATAGAAATACTTGAAAATAAGAGATAGAGAATTTATTAATACTCATCCAAAACTGAACTTTACTTGTGAAAATGTTCATTCAATAAAGTATTATTTGAAAAGTATCAACAAAAAAGAAACCACTAAGATTATGCTTAAAATTTGTTACAACATTAAATAAAATTTGTGTTTAAACTCAAGTAAGATGAGTTATAAGTCCAAATATAACAGTAAAAGTCCCAATAGTTATGTTATTAATTTCTCAACTTATAGTTAGTTTATTTTATTGCATAATTTTGTACTTGGACTCAACCTAACATAACCTTAACTTGGATCAAATCTGACTTAGCCTACGTTAGGCTTGACCTGGATCGAGCTTACCTAAACCTAACTTTGCTTAACCTAAGCTTCACTCTACCTAACTTGGGCTTGACCAAACTCAATCAAACATAAACTTAGCTCAACCTTATCTAACCTAAACACATCCTAAATAAATAAATAAATGTGCGATTGATCAACTTGACTTGACATGGATCAAAAACATCATGAGTCTTACTTATCTGAATCCAACATGAGCTTGAATTAGCTTTGCTTAACCCTTCCTAGTCATCCTAACTCGACCTTATATGAATTCATTCTAACTCGGTCTGATGTAGGCTAGATATGATTTGGCCTAGTCAAGGATTAGCCTGATTCAATCCTACTTGACCCAATGTGGGATTCACCTAACTTAGTCTTAGATGGGCTCAACCTAAACCATCATGGGCCAACATGGGACCAACTTGACTTGACCTACCTTGGCCCAATATGACTTACCCCCACTTATGCCTAATTTAATAAGTATTAGGCTTAACTCAACTTGTATTAGGTTCAACCTAACATGGGTTTCACTTCATATAGCCTAACCTAAGTCTCATCTAAGCCTAGATGAACTTTGATGTGGTCCAATCACACTTGTCTTGTCCTCAATCTGACCCAACACTAATGTAGACAAGGGCTTTTTGCACCAGTTATTTTGGAGATTATGTTGTGGTTCTTTAACCGAAACATATTTAGGCGAGGTAAGTGAACAAAGTGACTCTTGTAGTGAAAAACTGATGCAACGATTCAAATGAAAAAACTTTTGTGGGAATGTAATTTTAATCCTAACAGAATAATATACATTGGTTTTTTAAAAAAAACTGAATCATATAGTTGTGTAAATATTTTCAAAAATGTCACCACATTTATGAAATTATTTGCAAAAATTATTGGCAAAAACCAAGGCTTATAATTGTGTAAATAATTATGAAAATGTCACAAATGACATTTTTTTGAAATTATTTAGAAAAATAAGTATTGGTTGTTTACTGAACCAAAACATATACCCGTATAAGCTTTGGTTAACGAAGCCTGTGGTTGTGCAAAAATGTAAAAAATGTCATGTTTGAAAAACTGTTTTTCTTAAAATCGAAACATTGTGATTTCAAAAGCTTTTTTTTTAACCAAATTACAACTTAGTTGACCGATGAATCAAGTTCAAACCAATTCAATTTTAACTAAGATGGATCTTATGTGACAATTTCATAATTTGAACTAACCTAGAATTACTTTAATTTTAAATTTTCAAAATCCAAAAATTATTTAATATATTAAATTCAAATTCAATTAATTGATTCGACTTAAAAGAAAATATAGATTTTAATTTAAGATAAATTCTTTAAAGTAAAATTTAAGTAATATAAATTTAAAAAGTTATGTATTACATTTGAAGTGGATTTACTTTTTACTGTAAAATAATTTTTTTTTTACCCACTACCAAAAATAAAATCCCCGCTATTTCTAAGGCTTAATTAATAATATGTTCAATATTAATAGATTGAATATAAAATTTGTTTGATGTTCCAAAAAGAAAAAGAATAAAAAAAAAGGTGATAGAATGTATTTACAGAGTAATAAATAGAGAAGAGAGCTTTATTTTTGTGAATGGGATGAAAATACTCTTAATGCTAATATTTGGTAGGTATACATAATTCTTACTTATTTGACCAACTAATCATAATAACACGATCTGCATCAATATTACAGTCAACCATAGGAGGCATTGACAATGTCATGTCCTGGACTCTGATATTTTCTGGGTTACTTTGATTCTTCCTCACACATTCTAATCAATCCTCTTTGACTTTCATTCCTGAATCTTTTCCCATGACTTCTTTTCTGATAAGATCTCTTACAAAAAGAATCTGAACGATAAGCCATCTCTGTCACCCTTCATTTTCATTTTCTAATTTTCATAAAAAAATGTAACATTTCTTTTCACTTTGAATGTGGACTGACAGACAGACCACCCACGTTTTCTTTATCCCATAAAATTTATTTATTTATCTAATACCTTGATATCGAACTAATACACGACCAAAAATTATTTGTTTGCCAAGCAAAGCTAAAAAGAATAAAACAAAGCATGCAACACGACACCATTCATCCCTGCTATCACTTTGCTTCATGGGAGAGGTTCATATAATAAGTACTATTTTCCATATAAATCTTTTAAAAATCAACTACAATTCATGGTGTTAACTGATTATGTTAGTATATGTATTATTTCACAACATAGAAAATCAGAGGCAGGGACGATCAGAGCTAAGCATATAATAACTTTATATTCCTTTCTAGCAGATAGAGCTGATACACCGTCTTAAGACCTTGTAGTTCAGAAATTCATATCTAACCCCCCAAAAGAGAAAAGTTGATTAAACATGGAAATGGAAGTAACAGTGCCCTGGTAGAGGATTGCTAGTATTGTCCTATGGAACAGAAACTACAACTACACTGCTCACATTGGTTTTACACAAAAAGATTAGAAGAAAAAAGAAAAACAATTACTGTCACTAGAGGGGTCACAATGCTTCTCATGGCTAAGTACATTAGTTGGAGGAACTAGAAGGATTTTGACTGCCACTTGAGCTCAGACTCAGGTCAAGAATGTTGTTTGGAGCATTAGCTTTCTGATTTCCCTTGGAGAGTTTCTGTTTGAGCTCAGACAACAGTGCCTGGTTCTCTTGATTAAGAAGCTGTGCCTTCTTCCTTAGTCTCTCGTTCTCTTTCATTATGTAACAGTTCTGCAGGTACAGCTTTGAGTTCAACCTCTCCATCACTGCCGATAAAATCTCCAAACTTTCCTGCACTGAACCTGAAACCAGAAAACGATTGTTACGTTTGATCCAGAGAGTATGATATGGAGCAAAGAATCCAAAGGGGTAGATTCACAGATATATTATATTTGATAGAGAAGAAGAAGAAAATATAAAGTAAAGAAAGGAGGAAGGAACAGAAGGACCTTAATAATAACAGAATGGAGAAAAAAGAAAGAAAGATAGAAGAATATGCAAGCTTGCTAGTGAATGTGTTGCTTTATGAATTGCTTTGGTAGATATAATTATGACAGTTAAGAGAAGAAGGCAATATGAACAGGGAAAAGCATAGGGGGGGTGGAGGCCAGAAGAATTGAGTCTTTTGGACCACCTTGTCAAATAAATAGAGCATATGGGGTTGTCTGAAAAAACTAAAGAAGATGGATGATGCAGGGGGGGAGAGGCACTGACTTGAAAGCAGAAGAAAAGAAGATGGCTTCTTTCGGCTATCCCAAGAGGGAAGAAAAGGATAAAGGTCCTACCCACGTAAAAGGGACAAGCTTCGTACACCAAGATCTTCTGTGTGTTGGTATGTCTATGCAAAAACACAGTTCTTGGTGTTCCAAGCACACATAAGAGGCATTCCAAAAGGTTTTTAATATCCTCAGTAGTGCCAAAAGTTGCCAAAAGTAAAATGGAAATAAATAAATAAATAACTTAATGGAAGGCTATGGCTAGAGAAAGACAAAGAAACCATCGAGAGTGTTTTTCTTTCTTTTATTCTTTTAAAAACTTATATAAAATATAGATAAAATAAAATAAAGAAAACAGAATCTACAGAGAAAAAGGTTTGATAGGCCAAAAACATTCCCTCCACAAAACAAGGTGGAGTGAAACTAAGATACCTCAAACTATGTGAAAGGCTTCTTAAGTTAGAAGAAGCAAGCGAAGAGTACAGGTGATTTGGACTCAGACATCTAAACCAAAAAACACTAACTTTGCAACAGCCTAAAATACCATGTCTACATTTGTTTGTGAAAGTAATGAGGAAAACAAAACAGCACAAGAACAAGAAGATGGATAATGTGAGTGAGAAAGAGAGAGAGAGAAAAAGAAAGAGGTGGGGTCCCCTTTGTCTTTCCCTCCTGAACTTTTCGAAAAAGATCACCTTTTGAAGGAGGGTGGTTTGGGTGGTGGAGGAAGCAGAGTCTGGACTGTGGAAGGAGTAGCAGTGTGAAAAGGGTGAGTTTAGGGATGAGGAAGTGAGGGACAAAGGGAACAAAGGGTGTTAATTTATAGAGGAAAAAACACAGAAGAGAGAGGAAGAGCAGAGAGTCACAGACAGACATGAAAATAAAAACATAAATAAAATAAATTAAAAAAAAAAAGAGAGAGAGGGTGGGGGGACGTGCCCCTCTTCTTTCTGACACAACAATCATGCATGTGTAAGCATGGAAGGCGGCCGGTTAGTAGCCTAAAAGATTTTATGTTTCGCTTCTATGATGATGTTTATGGCGTCATGCCAATCATGATGTTTTACCTTTCATTTTGTTTTTCTATTTTTTTAAGGGTACGTTCTTTCTTCTTTCATCACTCAAATGTTGGTTAGGATTCACATTTGCCACCAACTATACTTTCAGATGATTGGTACATATATATTTAATCTAATACAAGTATCTTTAGATATCATTCTTTAACTTTATGTCCAATTCAACAGAAATAAAACAAAGCAATTTGGTGAGAAACTAATCTGGTTTAAGACAGAAGAAAAGAAGGAAAAATGTGTATGGGAGAATACAGTGGGAATAAAAATGGTTATAATGGGAGAGAAGAGGAGAGGAACAATAATGGGGGCTTTCAGTTTAGGGTTTGGAAAATGATGATGGGCTAGGTCGTCCCAAGATATGCAATGATGGTTTGGATTGGGTCCAAAACCACCATCAGCACCCTTCCTTACCCCCTCACCCCTATCATCAATTACTCTTTTGTTTTATTTATGCTCTGGTTCTTCTATTTTTAGGCCTCCATAATTTACACTTTCGTTTGTGTAATTTTCATGTGTTGGGAAGTGTTGGCAGTAATCATTCTTCCTGCCGTAATGTTATTCCTTCTTTTGTTGAAAATGGAGATTTTTGTGAAGACCTCAGTGAGAGAGAGAGAAAGAAAGGAAGAGACTGCCAATGGAGTTGTATCCACTACACGGCACGGCACTACTTAGCTACTAGTAGCTACTTGTGTGTGTGTTTAATTCTTCACCATCATCGTTTCCCATATTAATTATGAATATCCCTAGTTTTACATTTGAGTGATGATACGAAATTTTGTTCATTTATGTAGGTGTATCATAAGATATGATAAGAAATGATACGAGTGAGATGCCCAAAACCAAAACCAGCTGCCTTAGCTCATGTGTTAATTTGCTTTCTTTGTTTTTATATGGTTGAGAGAGAGCTTTAACTTTTCAACAAACTAAATGTGAAATCATTAAAAAGGTTCCAGAAAAGGGGAAAAAAGAAAATGATGGAGGGGTGTTAAGCATTGTCATTACACTAAAGCAGGGTTGTTTTAGTGGCACAGGCTCTGTTTGAGAATCAACTGTTACTCTTAAACAGATTCCATTCACATTTATTATTACCCTGTGGGTGGTTTATCTTAGCTAATTAGAAGCACTTATGGTGTTTTGTTTTACGTTATTATATATAATGATAATAATCCTAATAATTATGAGGAAATGTGTATGGTAGTGTGTTAAGTAAAGCACTGGTTTTGTTGCTAAAAGAAGGAGATGAGGTTGAGATAATAATAATTGTTAGGGGAAAAATAAGGAGTTTGATGAGAGTTTGGGCCTCGTGGGTTATGAGTGGTAGAAACGTGAAGCATCATGGTTGACAGATGGTGGTATTTTGGATGCGTCTATTTTTCTTCTGTGAGTGAAGTTGTCAAACAGTTGATGGGTGTGGCCCCCTTCAACTTCCCCCTTTCAATCCCTCTTTCGGACTTTGCTTGCATCCATCTCTGTTATCTAATTCTGGCCTCCATCTCTCAAATTACTCTTTCATCCTTAACACACTTCTCTTCTTTCTTTCTTTTTTAAAATTTTCATCTAAGTTCAAATTTATGTTTTTATTAGCATCTTTTTTTATCTTTTAAATTCAAATGTGAATGTGTGTAGTGTCTTAAAAAGTTATTCATGGATATGTTGGTATATCAAAATTTGGAAAATATTCATTTTTTCCCTAAAATATTTTTAAATAGACAAATTTAATTAATTTAATAATTTATCTAAAATATTTTTTTTGTGAAAATTAATTTATCAAACATACATTTTTATTTTTAAAAAAATACTAAATATTATATGTTCTTAAAAAAAGTGATATTTTAAACTGGTAGAAAAAGACTATATTGTTGATATAAAAATAAAATTAAAGAAACATAGAAAGAAGATTATCTTATTATTCAAATTAATAAAAGTATAATTTTAACCAATAACATGTAGATAAGATATTATATGAATGTTCATTGCTTTGAATGTAGAAACTAATTTCTCATATAGTACATACAGGAGTCAACACCAAATCATTGATTGAAATTAACTTGTAGAGATTTTTCAATTAATTAAATATACCTGAATTTAAATCAGACCAAAACCCTTGTAAAAAATTAATCTGCAAGGTTTCAGTTAGGTTTTTCACCCCTTCAAAATATTTACCTACTTTTAGTAAAGTAAATAAAATAATTTTTTTTAAACTAAAATTATCTTGTACATAAATTAAAAAAGTAAAAAAATTCATAAATTATTTTATATAAAAATTAATATTTAACTATAAACATTCATTTATTTATTTTCTTATATTTCACCCATAAAAATATTAATGATGAAATTTGTTGATGATTCCAGTCAATCTTTTATATATTAATTTAAAACTCTAACCTATCATAGATAATAAGTTTGCTTAATTAATTTTTATATATATTAATTTTATCTTTTAATAAAATTTTAAATTAAAATAAAGATCTTATTAATTTTATTTTCTAAATGATTTTTTAAATTTAATTATTATTAATATCTAATTATTTTATAAATTTAATTATTTTTTAACTAAATAATTATTTATAATAAAAATTTATTAAAAAATAAATAAAAATTACTTATAATAAAATTGTGATTTATTATTATAAAAGAATAACACTCATAACATGTGTTATTTATAATAATAATAATAATAATAATAATAATGGTTAAATATGTTTTTCGTCCCTTAAGTATCACACGATTTTGGTTTTAGTCCCTACTCGAAACTTTGATGGTTTTTAGTCCTCATAGTTTTGAAACTCTTACTATTAGTCCTTAAAATTAGACAGCGTTAACTTTTAGTAGATGTGACTAACGGTCAGCCCACGTGTGATGTCACCTTTCCTGACTACTTTTAATTGATGTGGCAGTAAAGGTGTGGTGGTCGGTCGGCCTGGTGGGTGGTTGGTTACAATGTCTGGTGGTCAGTCGGCCTGGTGGGTATTGGACAAAGACCGAACGGTTATGGTGACGTGTGGAGTGGACTATATAAAAGACCGAACGGTATTGGGCAAAGACCAAACGGTTATAGGCAAAGACCGAACGGGGTTCCGCAAATACCGAGCGGTGTTGGTCAAAGACCGAACGGTTATGGTGACTGGTGGAGTGCAATATATGAAAGATAGAACAGTATTGGGCACAGACCGAACGGTTATGGTGACGGGTGGAGTGCAATACATGAAAGACCGAACGGTTATGGGCAAAGACCATCATGCCGACCACCAGACCGAGTGGTCGACCACCCACCAGGCCGACCGACCACCAGACCTTTACTGTCACGTCAATTAAAAGTAGTCAGGTGGCATGACACGTGGGCTGGCCGTTAGCCACGTCAAACAAAAGTTAACGTTATCCAATTTTAAGGACTAATAGTAAGAATTTCAAAACTACGAGACTAAAAACCATCAAAGTTTCGAGTAGAGACTAAAACCAAAATCGTGTGATACTTAAGGGATGAAAAACATATTTAACCCTAATAATAATAATAATAATGATGGTGATGATTTTAACTTTTGAAAAAACAAAAGTAAATTTAATTTACAATTATGAGGAAGCAGATATCTATTATTTCTAAAACATTTAAAATTACTAATTTTAGTTACTATTTTAATTATCAACTTTTGGTAAAATATGTTTTTTATAGTTTGGTCAATATAAAATATTTATTACCAATTAAAGTATATATTAAGGTGACATGAAAATATTTTAAGTTTGAAAAAAATGAAGTATTATTATAAAGTTGATTTTTTTAGAAATAAAAATTGCACACTTTTGTAAGATTATAAAATCCAGAAGTGGATTTTAGCTTTTTAAATTTTTATGTATTTGATGAAAGGTGACTATCCAAATGACATTAAGTAGTTTGTCCAATATATATAAATTTTAATCATTTTATAA